TTTCTGATTTTTTTCCCAACACCTCACCCTGTAGAGATTTGCAACTCCGTGTTGCAGTGAGAAGTGTTTTGGATCATTTTCTATTTGTCATAATGGACTTTTTATCCCAGTTTTAAAACCTCAATATGAAACATAGTTGATTTCTCTTCTCTTCAGAATAGATGAAAGAATAGAATTTTCTGGTAATTTCAGAAAGAAAACCAAAAGAAAACGACAGACTTCTCATGCGTACAAGAACATAATTTACAGGTTAATACCAATATGTGTAGAAACATGTGTTTATTTTTTCAAAAAAACCCTAACCCTATTGTGGCATCATCTAAAATAATAAATATTCTTTATGGCATGATTGTTTCTGTATCCAAAGAGAACTTCAAACGCTGAGTTTAGTATGTCTGTCATCTTGGTGCCTTAAAACGCTCTCATTTAATTCTGTTTTTATTTAGTAATTCTTGCCTTTACCGTGCCCGTGCCTGGATCAACAGGCACAAGATAAAAGTGAGAACTGATGTAATGCATAGAAAACTAAATAAACACTTGAACCAGATACTGAAAACAGGATACAATTAAAGTGATTGTGTGGAAACATCTTTATAAGCTTACATGTAACCAGCAGTATTTGTAGTACGTGTTGGCTGCAGATTAAATGTAAATATTTCTGTGACTGCACATCACACATTGTTTTGTTAAACACTTATTATAGTGGGGTTTTTTTAAAGTGAAATTCTTTCATTGTTTTGGGAGAAACAGCGGCTGTCGGTGGATCAGCGATGGGTGATTCACTCTTCATAGGAAAATTCCACCATCAGGAAATTTTCATTTGTCTCCACACAAACACGGGTGGTGCTAGAGTTACCTGTCACTAACCTAATGCCTTTAAATCACACTTTGTTGCAGCAATACAAACCAGGATTCAATTCAGCTGCAAAACAATTGTGACGTCCGTGCTGAAATCCCAGACGCCGCAGCATAATAGCAGCATTGTTTTTCTTTTGACATATTTCTATAAGCACAAGGATGCCAAGTGTCATCCTTCAGCTTACAGTAACATTTTTGCAGCTGCTGTCTGTTAACAGTCAGTACAGCCATACGCATGCCTGAGCTCATTCACCTCCACTTACTTAAACTACATTTACTCAAATATACATGTAATATTTACATGTAAACGACGAATATTTCCCATTCAATTATTATCTCTACTCTGCTGCAGTTTAGAGTTGTATTATTCTTTTAACTCTACTACATCTTTGATGGTTTTGCAGTTATGTTACAAATTAAGCAACATATTATTTAATACACGGAACCATATCTGATATAGCTCTGCCCGCTGCCCCAGTAAATCCCGTATTCATTAATGCATCTCTAAGCAAATTTAAGGGTAAATGCTTTCTGCCATAATAACCTGACCTCCACATTAAGACATATTGTATTTCTCAAAAAGAAAAAAAGCAGTACTTATACATACTAACATACTATATACTAACTTATTTTACATCTTATTATCCTTTAGTCCATCAAAAACATATTACGGCTAAATACGGATATCCAGGTAGAATAGCATTGATTATATTAAACTAGGACACCATGTGGCTGTATTTGATTTCGGTGACATACGTGACAAGCAGTGACCCTGCCAAGCTTTTGTAGCTTGTGTGTTATAAGGGTGAAGGAGCAGGCAAACACTGTGGATCCAGAAATAGCATGGTTCTATATATGTGTATGTTTTAAGTTTGCGAGAGAAAATTGTGCATTACATGCTGCCATCATAGAGATTAATGCACACTACGGTGCAGGGCTTGTAGCACGTTATTTGAGGTCCTTAATATTTTCAGTGATAAGTTTTTGTGAACTTTAGGCTTTCTTTCCTTAAACGTTTTCACACCAAAGTCAAAGAGAGAGTATAAAGGTCAGTATTTTTCCGTTCTGTCTTAGGGGTGGGTTAGAAGTTAATCTGATTACTTTTGGGTCATCCATAGGATTAAAAGTAAACTGTTCATGTGTGGACTCCCCTTGGTGTTTGTTTGAGAGTGGGGCAAAGAATAGCAGACCTCCGGCTGCTCCCCTGCTTGCATGCGGTGGTGTTGGGTTTTGCTTTGCTGAATTTGTTTAGGGTAAGAATTGGGTGAGAGAAGGAGCGAGTAGGCTGGAATAATTTTAGACCAGTGGGAATGATGGCCATATATAGATATCTATATATATGTGATGTGTGGATGGGACATTAGAAATCTATATAAATATTGTTCAAAAAAGTATAATCAGTGTTTCCTTTTCACAGTTTTCTTAGTCGCTTATTCTTCCTAATGTGTCTTTACAGTTGTGGTAATGAGCAGCCGGCAGCTTTAGTCAATTTGGAGTAAAAGTGGCAGAAATCACTTGCTTGAGTGTCTCTTTACAACAAATCATTGCTGTGACCAACATTGCTCAATTACCAGGCTTATCGTGAGTATGATGAGCTTAACCTCAACCTCCAGCTCTGTTGCTTGAAATTTCCCTCTAATTAGTAGCAGGAAGGCTGTCTAAGTACTTCTATGAGACTGAGGTCAGTTGATGGAGGCTGGGAACCACTCAGAGAAACTAATTAGCCAACTTTCCAAAACACACACAGACAGTGGAAGTGCAGGAAACAGCAGCATCGAATAAACAAATCAATTTTCTGCTAAATTCTACAGTTGAAGGTTAAAAGTTTGTAAGAGATGCAACAATTAAATGCAGCATTTTGTCATTTCAAATAGTCATGGCTCACTCTACGGGAGGTGTTGAAAGGCTGTAGGTAAGCTTAGCTTCATCCAGCTAAATCTGTTACACTTGTTTAAAAGGTATCACTTCACACTTCTTTTTACTGCTCACCTGGGGGCGGTTACAGGCGACTACAGACTTGCTATCCAGACTGAAGCAATTAGCTTGATTGAAAACAGACCAAATTTGTTCTATAAGGTAAAAGTAGTATTTACTAACACTGCTTATTAAAAAGAACAAAACAATACAATTTTTTATTTGTGTTAGATATTGTCCAAATCACTACTAGAGGCATAAAATTGGCTTTTTTCCTGTGTGTATAAAAACTCTGATGGCTAAATAACAGACATAACTTTGCAGGACTCCTGATAAACTCATGCCAGGCAGCAATTTTTAGCTTGTCTATGCTTTAATTTGAACAAAGCCTTGTTGATATAATTTTGAAAACAGTAAGTGCAGATCAACCACTTTTTCTAAGTTGAGGGTCATTGAAGAAGCGATGTGAACATGCTTACATCAGTCCCAGAGAGTATGAAGGTTTAGATGGGCATTCATCTGAGATAATCTCTTATGAAGTATGCTCTCTGGTACAAAATTGAAAATTCTCTGGGGGGGCTGTGTTCAGAAAGGGTGTGAAACTATTTTTGTAGTGTAACAAAAGCATGTCTGCAGGTCAGAGGCTGCACACTGCTCCTCCACTAGTTTCCCCCCTCTCTGTGGTGATCTCTTTTACCTTCAGGCATGCTCAGAGATAGCTTTCACCAACTATGGCTTGACGCTGGAGACACTAAAAAGACTGAGCCTACCCCCTGGCATTCAGAGTCTGGATTGATTGGCTCAAGGATTTCAACACAGAGATCATTTGAGAGATTTCAAAAAAAGCCTATAATCTAATCCATTGTGTATTTATATGTTGTAGCTAACAAAACATTTTGTCATAAAAGGTCTTTGAATGGATGCTTTATGCATTTTTATCTCTCAACACGTTTTCATCACAACATTTCAGCATAGACACCCAGTACTGGGTTGGTTCTAGCTGTGGACGAGAATCAAGACATGAACAGGTGTAAATCAAGCTCAAGACAATAATAAAACATTATGTCTGGGACACAAATATAGTTCTCAATAAGATAAGTAAGACTGGAGAACTCTGGAGCAAAGACTACTGAAACAGAGTTAAGAAAATATCTTTAATTGCTATTGAATGTCTTGGAAATATTACCATCTTCTAGTATTGTGATAATTCTTCTTCTTTCTTTTTTTTAGATTACTTTTAAAATGGGATCAATCTGAGTAAGTCTTATGACAAAAATGATAAAGCAGGGATGGTCAACAAGCAAAAAAAAGCATGACTAATTAAACCGCTGCCATCCTGGAAGCAAAGCCACCAATAGTCGCTACTGATAAGACACTAAGATATGTATGTGTGTGTTTTAGATATTGTAATTAGGTCCTTGGAGTGGAGAGAAGAAGTCTCAGAGGTCCCAGATATGTTCAGAAAAAAAATAAAAATTCAGAGATGTACATGCACTGAGCATACCAGTGAGAAATCTGGTTGAGGGAAGCCGAGGGAAGTAAGCCCTCAGCCTTCCTCCGTTATGACAGGTAGATGATAGAGCGAGCTGTCAGTGCCGAAACACGCGGATGGATGAATCAACTGTGGGACATAGTTGGATCCAGATAACCCCCTTTAGGTACACACACACTGTACCGTGTAGAACCGCACACAGTCGTGCCACAAACTGTATCAGAAGTGCTGCAGTTAATAATGCATGAATGTGTCTGTGGTGGAGGAGGACTGGTGTCTCGGACGGCCGGCCCTAATGAAGTTGGGCATGTCTGCCTCACTCTGCTGCCAGAAAGTCATGAATAAACATTAGCCGGCTAATTAAACTCAGCACTGGCAACTGTACTCATCAGTAAACAAGAGGCAGAGAGGGGTCTCGCACATACTTGCAGGGGATTTGCATGTAATAGAGAAATGGTAATACAAGCCTTTCACTTTCTAACTAGTACAGTATGGACTCTGGAGAGGACCTTTAGCAAAGGAAAAAAGCTGTGCAGAATATTTGATCAAGTGAGGTAGACTAACCCTGATCCTGACAAATAGATTAAAAAAACATTCTTAATACACAAAATATACTGACACAGTAATAATAATGAAAATGGAAACTGTGCATTAGATATGATGTATTGATGTGTTCAGTAAAACATCTAATTGCATTAATTTAAACTGTTTGCATTCTGTTGTGTTTCCCCCACAGCCTGCAACTGCAACCTTCACGCCCGAAGGTGTCGTTTCAACATGGAGCTCTACAAACTGTCGGGGAGGAAGAGCGGAGGAGTCTGCCTCAACTGTCGCCACAACACGGCAGGTCGCCACTGCCACTATTGCAAGGAGGGCTACTACAGAGACCTGTCGAAGCCCATCTCACACAGAAAAGCCTGCAAAGGTACAGGGCTCTGTTTGTCTTCTCTTTTGTAAGTGACCGGGGCTCGGATTGATCCATTTCACTCAAGAGTCCCTCGGCTTTCATACGTTAACATTATGATGTGCGCTGCTTTTTTCAAGAGTGGATTTTATATAAAGGCAGGAACAAGAGGATTTGTGGTCTTCACATTCCTAAGCCTGTCTCACCCTCATCTTCCTCTGTCAGCGAAGATGAGTTGGGGGTCTTTTGGGATTGTGGAGGTCGCGACGGTGGTGGTGGTATGGGCGGGTCGGGCTGGGTGTTCCCTCGTCGACGCTGAGTTATTTGGCTTAGTTGGCGCTGGGGTGAGGGGATGACAGGACAAGAAAAACAAACAGAGCTGAGGTGTGAAGTGATCCTCAGTGCGAGTCAAAGACTAATGAGAACCCAGGGAGGCTGGTTCAAGGGCTGCAAAACGAATTGAAAAGAGAGCAGGAAACAAAGCAAAAAAGTCAAGACCAGAAGGATGGCAGGAGAATGAAAGATGGGAGGGAGGGAGGACTGATGGGTTAGAAGAAGAGGACGAGAGGAAGGGGACACACCCCTACGCAGGTGTGCTCACTACTCACTGCTGGATGAATCGCATGCCATTGGCCCTCACCGTAGCTAATAAGGGTCAAAGACAGAGAGGTGGTGGAGGCGGAGAAAGAAGTGACGGTGACTGAAAAGAGAGAGAGTATGTTTTCTCACTTCTGCTATAGCTGCAGGGAAAGATAACAGGAACTGAATCCCTGTGCAAACAGGCCCAGAGACACCTCAGATTTACTCTGTATGGATAAAGCATCTACACTGATGCAAGCATACCTGTTGGAGGGTTTCAGAGCGCTCTAAAAGCGAGCGAAGACTGCAGACAGTTTGAGCCAGAGTTTTCTTATATCATTCAACAGGAATTTTAAAAAAGTAACCACCCATTTGTTAGTTTAAGAGGGAGCATGTCTATAAAGCATCAAACATCTTTAAAAAACATGTTTAGATGAAACAATGGCGTGTTAAGTTGTGTTGTAGTCAGCTGCACACATTACGAACGCAAACGACACCACTGATGAAAGATATTTGTCCTCAGCGTCTGCTCGTTTCTCTGTATTGACCATAAAACCTTGGAGAACGTGCACTTTTCCGTGTTGACATGCTTCATGCTGCTGCAACGAAAACATTTACTGACCTAATGCAAAAGAACGTCACAGATGTTTCACTCAGTCACATTAAATTCCTGTCATTCAGCAACCGCATCGAGCACATTTTCTTCCCCGCGCAAAGACAAATTAATAACAAAGAGCTCTAGAAATGTTGGAAGTAATTCCCCGCCTCGAGTCACTCGTGACCAATATTCCTCAAGTGATTTTAACACCTTCCATGGCTTCGGGCCCATTCTCCAGTCGGCCAGGAATGCAAACACGCATTCATCACGACAGGACGTTTTGTGTCGTTTAACCCCAATCTACTGCTGTGTCTACCAGGCTGGCTTATTCGGGAGATTTCACCTCTTTTTTTGTTGTTTTTACATCTCTTCTCGTGTGTCTATGACTTGATTCTTTCAGCATCTCATAACTCACATTCATTGGTGCTAGTTCCTCACACTGGAAAACTAGTTTCCTCGTGGTCCTGCTGTGCAAATATAAAATGTAAACCCACTCTTATAATTTATAGTAGAGGCAGCATTAGCTACAGATAGTAGTGCGATCTTTCCTATTTTACCATATTTGCTAAAACCATAAACTATATCAATGTTTCATATGATTACAGATAACTTTTATTACTTTTTAATTTCTTGCACTGGTGATTTCTCCGTGTGCTCAGGTGCCGCTTATATGAGAAATTATATGTGTTTGGCTGGAAAAAAAAGGATAAAACACGAAAATGATGTTGTAGTTACCATCCTGGTAAAGTTAAAGCAATATGAGTATTAAAAAAACAAATCCCCAGTTAATGTCACAATAAAAGGTTGGGTTATTTTATTTTATTTTTTTACCATCAATAGCAAGCGCTTTAGCTGAAAGAGAAAAAAATAATATGTTTTCACTGATGTGGAAATGTGTTCTCATACAATGATGACTAATTTGATGTTGCGAAACTTTGGATAAATGAGTCATGAAGTTAAGTCAAAACAGCGAGTCAAAAGCTGTGAAAAATGCACGTAGTGTGGACCTCTGACATCTGGAGTAAAGTGATGTATAGCATGTGCATCTGGGTATGTGGGGCTGGCTCTGCATTCTGTAGCCGAGTAAAGCTTTCCTGATAACTAGTGATTCGGATTCAGAGAAACTCTGCTCCCCCCATCTTCACCTGTGTCTTCTGCTTCTATAGACTCTGTGCACCTTCTCTTCCTGTTTAACTGTACATTAGAAATCCTTTTATATTTAAATTCTATATTAAATAAATGAATGAACTGACTAAATCAGTTCTAATAACAGAAGATGAAATGTGAGACGCTGTTCTCAGTTTGTCAAAAGAATTTCCTGCTTTTGTCAGTTTGATTTTATTGCATGACCTCAATTCCAAAAGAGTTTGAATACTTTGTAAAATATAATATTAGAATGCAGTGACTTGTTAAAGTCTTTAACCCTGGCAAACTTTGTCTATTTAAGATCCTCTTTCATACCCAGTCATGTTACCAACCAGTTAACCTAATTAGAAATGTCCCTCCATTTGTTTCTTCCTAAAAAAAAACAACAACAACATTTTACTTTTATTCCCAGTCCCAACTTTTCGAGATGTATTGTTACCATTAAATTCAAAATGAGTCGATATTTTTCATGAAAAAGTAAAATGTCTCAATTTTAGGTCAAAACATTCTGTTGTTGTTGTTGTTGTTTTTTTTTGTTTTTTTTTATTTACATTTTACACAGCATCCCAACATTTTTGGACTTGGATTTGTAATTGAATATCTTTGTATTTTGAAACAAAACAAGCAGTCTGCAACCTCCCTCCAAACTAAGAATGATGGAAAGAACATTTTTCACTTTATTGGCGTTTCAAAAAGCACCTTAATTCCATTCAGTTTTATTTATATCTTAATTATGAATGATTAATTGAAAAAAAGTCATTAAAAGATTAACCGATCATGGAATTATTATTATTTATATTAATTACCAGTCAAATCAGCATTAGTGTTGTCATGCACGCACTTATTTCATGCAAAACCCAACACTGTGATAAATGAAGTCTGCGAAACCGCTGAACAATTAAATAATATGATCTATAATAATGTTATTGTTACAGGATAATGACAGTCCCAGAGGCTCATAGCAGGAGTGGAGTCATGTCATATACTCATTACATCAGTGTTCTGAAACTAGTGAATACTAAATCATCTCGCCCACACTAGGGATTGATTTCTTCTCGGCTCCTTCACGTGCACCGCTGCCTCTCACCGAAGTGACGTGTAAACAGATTTCATCATTGTTTATAAAACTGTCAACTTACCCAAACGGTTTTGTTCAATTTGATCCATGAAATTTGCCAGGGTTTATGCACCTCCCACCTCTCCCAGCATAGTGTAATTACAAGCAAACACTGTCCAAGTTCTACAGAGGTATTTGGTTACATCAAATTAGACTTATAATAAGGGGATCTGTGGTAATTACCCCAAGCTGACAAACGATACGAAGCATGAACTCGTTCTTTTGCCAATTAAAACATTTTTTTTCCAAACTATATTTGGAAACTTACTCATGAAGACTTTAAAGATATGTGTCACTGTGTTACATGCCCTCTTTGTCTGTCGCTCTCTCTTTGCTAATGAACTTTGCAAAGTTACCGCACTCCGCTTTCCCCCCCTCTCTCAGACACCTTCGTATGCTTTCAAAGTTCTGCCCTGCCAAATTCTCTCAGGTTTACCACATCATAACTCAAGATAATTCAATGGAACTCAAACCGCAGAACTAATTTCTGTCTGCTCCTCAAGCAGCGTAGGCTCTGCACCGAAGTGACAGCAATTAAGCGGTCTGGTTATTTATTGAACTCAAAGAGAGAGAGCCCTTTGCCGTGTGGCCTTTGGAAAAGAATGAGTGCTGCAGGAGCACGGGCATGTTGAGGAGAACTCCAGTTTGCTTTTATATGTGTAATACAATCCTCTCAGAAAGCAGCCCGTTTCCATAGGAGGTCATCTGGAGTGAAAAAAAGGGCAGAGGCACATCTATTACAAAGTTAGCCCTGCCTGGTGGCCACATACACAGGCTGAAATTTATTACTTTACCCCTCATTGAGAAAGAGTGTAAACTCAGAAGGATTTTCAGTCAGCTCTTGTTTGTATCTTTAACCCTTTGATGCCTCTAAATAACACATACTGAGTGTATTTCAGTTTAGCTTAAAGGGATAATGATCAGATTTGAAAAGACGACAAGAAGCAGCAGTCTGTGTGGTCTTTGATGCTTTAATAAAGATAATACATAAAACTCTATGGCAATATGTCTGTTTAAAGTTTAAGTAGCTGATCCATTTTTTTTATTTATGACTTCTATACTTATTTCAAAAGTTAGTCCTGTCTTTTAAAATTATGTTATACAGTAGCAGAATATGGTTACATTTTGTTTCCAGGCTCCGAGTGCTTCACTACCCTCAAAATATGTCATATAGAGAATCTGGGGACTAATGTGTAGCCTATAGGTGAGTTGTGAAGGGTGGAGGGGTCAAAATAGCTAGCAGCAATGCCTTGCTACCATGGAAATTTGGCATTTAACATACACCAGCTTGAGGGTGTGTTTAGCAATACAGTGTTTGGAGAGTAAGGCATGTCTTATGTTTGTCAAGCAGTGCAGAGTGAGTGAACTGTCCAATCTAGTTCACAAGCTTTGCTCTGTGGGCTAAATACTACAATATCTAAAGAAATACAAGAGAAGTCCACAGCAAATAAAAAAAGACCTGCTCTTGATTAGTTCTCCTCATAGAACATCAAAACATGTACCAAATTAATCTCGAGCTTGGCACTGGTTCTGCGATGGATGGATTAAGTTCAAACCTTCAGAGCCTTTAAATGTGAACATCAACCATCATGTAATTACATTGGTCAGTTGGATGATGAGGAACATATTCTGCGTACAGGGGACAATTAGGCTTTGACGGAGGGATAGTCTGTTTCAATCAGAATAGCACCCTTCGACCCTCCTTCCTTCGCATATGTCTTCGATTGATACAGTTGAATTTTTTCTCATTGACCACACATAAAAATGTTTTCTACGAGGGTTTTGAAAAATATTGCTTTTCATTACTTCGCTTTTAACTTTTAAAAATGTATTTTTTATTCTTTACAGGGGTGTGCTGATATCAATTAGCAGAACACACATGTCTTTAATGTGTTGCACATTAAACATCATTCACAAAATAAGCTCTTGAAGAACATTTTCGGCTCTCGCGGTGGCCAAAACACGACTCCTCGGGCCATTGCAGCCCTATTATTCTCCTCAATAAAACATTAAAAAATACAAGAAGCAAGAATGCACCCTCTATTAGGTACGCATGCCATTTAGAAGGCTGTTTATAGTAAAACAACTGAATAACACACATCTTTCTTTTGCTCTTCAAAAATACTTGTGGAGCAGAAACCTAATTATAATAGAACACAGACTCAGGAAGCTTGGCTTTAATCCAGGGCCAACAAATTATTCTTACTGGCACAGTGTGCACAAACCCAATGAGGGAGTGGAGTTCAGACTTCAAACACCAGCTTTATGGTAAACGATAGGCAGAACTCAAAATTCTTGCATTGTGCAATCTCAGACTTGGGCCCGACCGCTTGCCTTTGAAAAAGTCTTCTTCCCTCTTCATTAACTGCGGACGTTTTTCATTCTTTAAAACGCAACTCCCAGCGGCAAAGGCTCCCTTTAGTGTCAGGAATTCCTTTTTCATCTAGACACATGGCAGTAATGCATAGCTAACCCCCCAGGTTACAGGTTTTCTGTTATTAGAAAATGGTCGCAGGTTCTCTTATAAACATAATCCAGGTCTTATTTTAGATGTCTCTCAGTTTTTTTCTTTCTTGGAAGTGTTGAGAAAGAAGGGCCTCTTGCCCTCTGGTCCCCATATCTCCCCAAGCCATCTGGAGTATCCCTGAAACACAGCACAAGGCCACTTAACCGTTTAAGTGGACACACACTTAAACCAGAAACTCTCACTTGCACCTCTGGAGTTAGTCAGTCTTCTAGTCGACAGGTGTGTCACTGAGTCGGACAATTTGTCACTGGACAGGATAGCGAGTCAGTCGGCTCTCGAGCTGATGAAGAAGACCAGATGTGGAGGAGAAGGAGGAGGAGGCTGAGTGTTTGCCACCTGTACACCATGTGCCGTGCACCTTGATTTACTAGCAGGCTTGAGCCTCTGAGCTGAAATTATGGGCACACGCTCTTAAAAGCATAACCTGAGCTCTCTGAAGCTCCAAGCAGAAACTCGCTTTGCCTCCTCTGCATCGGACTCCTCTGACGTTCTCGTAAATTTACAGGCATGAAGACGTGCCGGGGCAGCCTGCACAGTCTTTATTGGGCTTCCTGAAACCATGTGTTTGGGTCTATATGTGTGTATTGTTCCTCTGAGGGAACAGCTAAGCAATGAAAGCAGTGACAGATTGGTCTGATAAAGGTACTAATAGGTACACACACAATGAGGGGGGCTTTCTGAGTCTGATAAGAAGGCTCAACAGTCCAAGTACGCTTTCTAGCTCTCTGGCTCTCACACAACACACAAACACACATGCATGCACACACACCAAAAACAGATAAGAGCAGCACAGAAGCTGGAACACAGGAAACAAGCAACAGAGATAAAACAGAGTGTGATACAGAGAAGAGAAGAGGCACCCCACTGACACATAGACCTTATCACAAAAACACTTACTTCAGCTGGAGAACAGAGTTGTCCTGTAGTCGTGTGGCTGATTTTTTGGAATATCTCACAAATCAACAATTGTGTTATTTCCAAGAGTGAGAAGTCAGTTATAAAGAAAACTTTTACAGTTACATTAATGCTTTAGAGCAGTGTTTTCCCCAAGAACAACTGTAACGTAGATCTCCCCGAGAGCTCGTCAGGTATACAACCCATCTCTAAATAAAAACCACATCCCTGCTCATGATCAAAGTAAAGATAAAGAAATCACAAGATCTCAATGCATTGTAACTGACACCACACCATTCAATCTTTTCATATAACCACCCAAAAGAAAAAAAAACATTAGTGGAACTGACCAATCTGTGTGGTTAAAAAAAACCCGACACACATTATTTAACCTGCACCTGTGAAGATTTTAACGGTGACATTTGACACAGTCGGGAAAAAAAATCTTAAGGGAAGGGAGATGAGTGAGCGGAGTTGGCCCGACTCGGAGAGATAGCGCAGCGAGGTTTCCAGGAAATAAGCAGAAAATCTAATCTTTCCACAGTGAAGAATATGGCGCTGTGAGTTTGTTGACAAACTGTGTTTTTGGCTTTGCAGGCGTTTCAAGTAAAAATGTGAAAATGGTGATAGATTAGGTCTGGTCTGGATTAGCTTGTCAAGAATTGCAGTATAAAAGACCTATTAATTCTCTTAACTCCCCCTCCATGTCAGAATCACTACTATTTAGACCAAAAGCAGATGAAAACACAAAATAACCCCTCTAAGACAACTATTACTCAACACCAAACACGACCGGTTTGGCTGTGAAATAAATTAATGGTTTGGATTAGAAGGGGAGGGGGGGGGCTTTGGAAAATGATTACATTCCTGAAGCATATGTGTTCGATAGACCCCCCAGTGTGGGAGGAAGTATGACAGACGTTTTAGGCTCACCTTCAAAGCCTGAGAATAATCAGAAACAGGCAATTAGGATTATCCTCCATTATTTTATCATTTGGTAAACATGCACAAACTTTCCTCTTCACTTCACGTCTCCAGCTCAAATAGAAATTCAGCCTCACTCACTTGCAGAGGTACATATATAAACAGACATATCTGTGATCTGTGTTAGGGCGGCATTTAAATGATGGCTACAACACACAGAGTGCCAAAATGTCAGGAAGTGTCTGTAGACTTGGAGGATGTGTTGCTCCTTCACTCACGATTCAACTCGGTCGGGTCCACGTTGGACGTGTGTAAGTTCTGTCTCTCTGTGCACGCCTCCACCTGTCTCTCACCACTCTATTGTTGTTGACACACTGCTGCTGTGTACCCACCTGCACTCTCTATAGATATAGTATATGTTTGTGTCTCCCCACATGTGTGTGTGTGTGTGTGTGTGTGTGACCACTCACTGTGCCTCTCTTTCTTCCTCTGTTTCCTCACAGCATGTGATTGCCATCCCGTGGGTGCTGCTGGCAAAACCTGTAACCAAACCACAGGACAATGTCCCTGTAAAGACGGCGTGACTGGTATCACGTGCAACCGCTGTGCTAAAGGCTACCAGCAGAGCCGCTCGCCCATTGCCCCCTGCATAAGTACGTTGAACCAGTCTTTACCACATCTGCCTCACTGTAGCACAACATGGCCTGGCAAAAGGTCAGGTGTGATGACAGGCATATGTACATATTCAAATAGCACACACAAACATGTGATACAAACCCATCATACACTGTTTTACACTTTTCTTCAGAAGAGTGCATCTCTCTCAACTTCTAATCTTTTTTTAGGTCCAGAATTTTCCTAGTTTAAAAAAACACACCATTAAAAGTGAACCCCAAGGTTATGGCTGCACACACTTGTTGGCTCCATTAATCTGAATAAAGAGCTGTGTCAGCTTCTCTAAGCTACCACAATGTCTCATGGGATGACTAAAGTGTACTACCTTTTAATTTATTATTTACAAGCCATTGTAATGAAGACAAAAAGATCAAAATATATGAAATCGCTTGAGAGAAGGTCTGTACCTCAAGACAGGATAAGAGAGAGAGGGGCTGCAGTATCCAGCATAAGAAAACTTAACGGACTCTCTCAATGAATTGTCTCTCTCCTTTAAAGCAAAACATTTGACTGCTCATCCAGTTTAATGTTCAGTACATGTGTTTATGAGTTTGAGTTTATATTACTTCCCACTGTTGTCAGTTTAAATTTACACAAGTAAAATATTAGAATTAGACCTATCGTTTAAATATCACATAATGCAGATGTGCACTCATGTGAGCAGATCAGCATCAGCAAATGGACCTCCAGGACAAGCATGCAGATGAGACATACTTTTAGAAAGCAGGTTTTTGTCTGTGTAAGTTGAGAAAATCTCATTTTAATTGACCTAAAGACTTGATTGTTTCTTTGTCTACTTAAACACTCTTCACTGCACTGCTGAAACCACCACACCACTTCCCTCAGTGTATCAGGGTCTTTCCTTGCATGTCACTTTTCCTTCTTTCCTCATAGTCTACGTGAATAATCTAGAAGTCTTTTTGATTGAGCCCTTTCTCTTCACAATGCAACAATAAAATAAAAAAAGCATTATACCGACATATTACAACAAAGCGTGTAACAGACACGCCGGCCTACCACAACTTACTGCAACTTCTGCATCCGTGTCCATTTCACACTTTGCTTCTCCAAAATGTGAAATGTACATACATGCAGAAGTTGCAGTAAGTTGCAGTTACAGTAGAGGGAGATATTTTATTTCGAGCCGATATGAAAATAATCACGGGAAACCGTTGAAACAGACATTTAATATTAATACATTTAAATGTAGATACATATTAGCCACCAAGATTAGTCGATTCTGGAAAGTCTACCAACTTCGTGGCTTTAAATATATTATTCCCCCTGCTAGTAATGCAATTTTAGCACCTAGTAATGCTTTTTGCGTTTTGGAAGAAGCAAAGCGTGAGATGGGCAGACTTGTTTATGTTGAAGGAGCCAGCAGGTAGATGAAATAACATTTTAAGCTTTTAAGAAAGCCAGAATCCAAACTTGCAAGAAAGGATACACAATAAATAGGTCTCTAAGTTGCACTTCAGACGAGGAAAAACATGCAGCAAGTTCAGACTCAACTCCTGCGTCACCAAGACACAGTTCATTGCCATTAGGATATCTTCCAGACGCCCCGTCAGGAATTTATTTACTAAATTTTCTTCTATAATATTAACACTGAAACCTTGCCAGAATATATCACAGAGGTTTAAGTTTCTGGCTCTAACAGTGACACATTTTCATGCTTCTTTAATAAATGTGCCTATTTACATCCTGTAACAACCTCCACACGTCCACACAGCAACATTAGAACATGCACTGCAGATACACATAATAATGAAACTGATCTTTCTTTGTGTCTCTGTCATGTTTTCTCTGGGAATAGAGATTCCAGTCACACCTCCTACAACCCCATCCAGCAGCACGGAGGAGCCATCAGGTAAGCACAGCTGAGAGTAAAACATTTAATCTCTTTTACACATTTATCTATATGTTGCTATAAATCAGTATAAAAGCACATTTGTCCTCGAGAGGAAACGAGGAAAATGCCGTGGGAGGATAAATGTATTCAGTATGAGCTTTTTAACCAGTTTAGTTCCTCGTCCTCTCATATTTTTTCCACAAGTGTAAAAACAGTGTGCAGGATAAATTGGATCCCACTTGCCTTTCCCCTCCTTATTACTGGGGGGTTCATGAATATTAAATCCATTAGCCGCAGCCCTGGGATGTGCCTCCTTTAATCTCTCACACTTTCACAATTAATCAGTCTAACTGCGGCACAGTGGGGTGTTGGTTGAGTGTGCAGCATTGGGCTCCAGTAGTTTGTTTGATTTGATATTTCATCTCTCCCAGCTCGCACTTTCCTCTCTGATGCAGTGTAGTAAGAGGAGGAGTGATGGAGGGATCTGGATTTTGTAACTTAGCAAAGGATGTATTGGTATTCTTCTGTTTCAAACAGTTCTGTAACATTTGGTTTGCTGTCCAGTCTTTAATTGAGGAACATAAGATGAGGATAAGGCATGGAATATCAGATACTGCTACTACTTTAAATGCAGTTTTGTTTATAATCTGCATATAAGTGTTGATATCTGTATATAACAGTTATTAGAGTAGATAGAATAATGGGAAATATAACTATGTAACTGAAATAAGAATGAATATTAGTGCTCAAATTTAGAGATTCTAGAATCAACTGTCAGCTTATCAACTGGTTAGATTTCTGGTGATATGTCACTACTGAGGGTTGTGGCAGGCTCAATTAGTTACCCAGGAAATGGCATAAATGCTGCCAGAAAACAGAAAAGTGGAAAAACCCACATTTTCTACTTCCTAAAGAGACGTGCTGTGACTGTATGAACAGTGTTCGAATCAGTACCACTTTTTCTTTCACACACAGTGGAAAAAGCTGATCTGGCTCGTGCCATGTTTTTTTTCTCCCTCTCAAATCAAAATGGAAGAGGCCCAACATATATACATGTCTGTAAGCGAGTGTGTGTGTGCATAAGGGCTTTCTGCAGCTGTTTGGTGCTCTGAGGTTTCAAATCTTCCCTGAACAGCTTTGACTGACAGCACAGTCCAGCTATCGCTGTTGTCCAACCCTCCTCCACCTCTTTTCTTTTCTCTTTAAGTCTCTTTTCACTCTCCTCCACCTCCTTCGTCTCCCTCTGTTTCACGCTTTGTCTTCACATAACACTGTGGGTGGTGCAGAGCTACAATATCTGGAGTTTCTCTGGGCGCCCCTTGTCAGGAATCTGTCTACTTTAGGGTGTAGGACATATTCTGAGGGATTTTTACTTTTATATATTTATTTTGTTAACTTAAAAAATGCTAATTCAATGTGACAACACAGGAAAGACACATACAAATTCCTTGTATGTGTCTGCACATATAAACATATAAACACGATTCTGATTCTGAAAGAAAATAGACTTTCACATAATTTGTGCATATTTATCGTTTCCACTAACTGTATTAATTAAATCATCCCTTTTGATGGAGATAGTGTTAAAGTGTGAATTATGACCCACCAGGCAATCTGTTCTTCCTTGAGGCTAAAATCAAGCAGACTGTAAGGTGACGGACATCCTCTGTTGGTCATGTCAGAAGCATGAATAGCGATTGGTCTTCTAGCCCGCCCGGTCTTGAGGCCCAGAGGATGCATACATTATCCTCCGAGCCTCTTCATGGGGTCACACAGCAAACCCACCTCTGCTCAACCTGGTATTCCTGCAGCTATGATATCACTTCATGATTGCAAACAGATGTGGCTTGTATGCAGTATTCAACAGTTTCGTTTTTTCTGCACAGTACTGCATACTAAAAAAAAGTGATTATGATTATTATCCGCATCATTATTATTAGTTAGCAGCAGGAGAAAGAGTATTCCAACTTTTTTAAAGCTTTTTTTGAAATGCGTTATGCCTTTTGTTGTACCCAATGTACTCGGGGGAGATGGCGATCAGATCAAAAAAGACACGAGAGCGAGGCCGTTTGCACTTTACCCACATTAAATTAAATTTACACAATTAAATTAAATTTATCTACCATTTATTACTTTTTTATTAAAAGCATATAAGAAAATGTATACAAGGGATAGAAGAAGAGGAACAAAAGTGAGAAATGGTGGATTACCTGCAAAAAGTTTGGAAAATGAAGAAAACGAGAAAAAATTAAATGTAAATGGAGTGTGTGAAAAATTGAGATTCTGAAGACAAAGATTTGAGCATGAGTTAAGAAACACGGAAAGTTAATTTAGAAATAAATATGAAAAAAATCGGATGAGGTGTTGAGTATGAGGTGTTGGGCTGACAGCTATGAGGCAGGTGTCTCTTTGCGCCTTGCTTGAAGGCGGGGAGTGGAGCTTGCCGGGAGGCGGAGGGTGTGAATGGAGGTTATGAGGGAACATGGAGTGGATATTAATTTGTCTCCTGCAGTAGGGCTCTCCCCCCTTTCTGACCACACGGAGGGTTGGAATGCATGGAGAATACCTCCGATGGTGTAGCGCAGACAAAACACACATTGTGCTGGTAGGTCATGGATGGCGTGAGTCGCCACTCCCACGGGTCACGACAGAGATGTCTGAACAGCAACGAAATGTGGAGGAGATTAACTGCAGATGACCTGCGATGGCCGCCCTGGCCCGTCAGAATACACAGGATGTGAAAGTAACTAATGATGATGAGGAGAAGGAGAATTGGAGTGACCATGATGATACTTATAAGCATAACAAGGTTCAGCCCTACATACTGTATGTGTGTGTGACGTGTCTGAAGCTGGAAGTGATCAGGATCTGTGGCGAACCCCTCCTCGGATTTTTTGAACATGAGTCTTGCTTTACACACCCTGTTGAGTACGAGTCGAGCCCAGCGTGCTTTACGGCCGTGTCGACGTGGGATAGATAGAGAGAGAATAAATACAAGTAAAAAGACACTGAGTTAAGAAAAAATAGAGCCAAAACAGAAGCACACGTTATCAAATCATCGTTAAACTTTTATCTGAAATTTATTTGCTGCTTTATGCCATTAAATTCTTGCCATATTTATTTCCCCCGGCTAAGCTTTCAGAGAAACCCTACAGGACTCCATGCTGATTTAAAACGGAGCAGTTACAGTAATGGGCGATGCCCCAGCTCATCGGAATTGATTGCACGCCACCCAAAATAAAATCTCGAATCGGGTCAAGAATTCTAATAGCCTCTCTTCTCTGCCTGTTGGTGGCTGAAAGCAAACCATCCTTTGCTCAATGACAATACAATGAGAAAAAGTAGGAGGGGGCTCCTTTTCTTTCTTTCCCCTTTTTTACTCTGTCTTTCTTTGCTGGACGGGATCCAAACTCACAGTTCTAATGTAAGCAGCCCGGCACAGAACAATGGAGCGCATTGCATGGCAGCACACTGGGCTCTGAAATCTAATTACGTGCTTTATTTGCTGCAATTTGTTTCTCAATCAGTCTGCTTCAGGGAGAAAGCCCTCCTCCCGGGCCATCATTTACACCTTCTTGTCTCACTGTTCTTCTACCTTTGATGCCTCTTGCCTCTGTGGTCATGTTCACACATGTTCACTTGCATTTAAACATTAAGAGCAGCTTTGCATAGTTTTAAAATCAACTGTAACTGCAAAGCTGTAGCACGTGCATACTGTACAAGTATATGCAATCACACAGCTCCCTGAGCAGCTCTCACTGTGACCCAAATGTTAATATTATTAATCATTTTAAATATTTAATTTTATATATATACTAAAGGACAGCTAGGCACTTTGGCATTTACTCTGCTACAAACGATGCAGACTTCTTGGCTGAATGTTAAGTTGTTTGCATTCCAGTCCTTCTCTGTATAACTTTAAAGTACTGACTGCTTCATTTGCATTGCATTCACCTTCACCATGCTATTTCTCCACACTGCTTTTGTTTACTTTAGCTTGCATGCCAAGGTGTCTGTTATGTCCCGGTGCTGGCTGTCAATGTTTCTTTACAGTATGAAGAGATATCAAGATAAATTTTGATCACATCAATAATCCATTATAGTTTGACGGGTGTTCTGTGCAATGTTTCCTTCACCTTGCACTCACAGAAAACTGCAGCCACACTCCAAACTTCTCCATAAGAGTGCTACAAATTGCATTCTTCATTTTAAATATGAAAAATAAAAATTCAAGCCCACACAAAAAAGAAAATAAAAAAGATTAAGCACTCTTCTGTGGCCTCAATTTTCATCTAAAAATGACACGTATCACCATGAAACTTCACTAGTTGAGTACTTACATAGAGACAATTATTTTTTAATTTACAAGCTTTTGAGTATTTTAATGTTTAGATATGTAAGTGAGGCATTATATGTGCAAATTTGCTATAATTTGCATACTTTCCCACAATGGAAACACGAACACTGGATAAAACCACGTTCAAAATTCTCGTTTCATTTTGTTGACACATTTGAGTGGAAGGTTCATGCTGAAGGGATTTTGGATAACTCTTTTTATCACTACATAATTCCCAAAACAGTGTCAACAGACAGAAAAAAGAAACATTTTGCAATACTTTTTTGTATAAGATAAGATAAGATAAGATAAGATAAGATAAGACAAACCTTTATTAGTCCCACCCATTTTTAGGTCATGGCAGAAAGTAATGTAATGTAATGTAATGTAATGTGTATGTGTTAGTCCCCATAGGGAAATAGTTCCTCTGCATAAAAGTTATGAAAAACCCAATAGAATAGGATCAGATAAAATAGAATAACATACTATACAAAATAGAATAAAATGCTTTGTTATAGTAGGTATGGTATATGAACAAACCCCTATTTTAGAATAAAGATGGGAATAAAGCTGAAAGGTTTGGTGTTAGTGTGTGCTACTTGTATGTGTATGGAAATTTACTGGCTTATAAGGATATGTTATAAAATACAATGTATTTTATAAATTAACTAATACTATTTTACATTTTACATTTTTTACTTAAAGATATCTCTGAAATTTCCTCTTACTATAAATTTTTTAATTAAGAGATTTTTTTAATATTGTAACTTTGAAAATCAACCACAAAATCAATAAAACAACCAACTGAAAGCATTTTAAATTTTATTAGTAGCCTCTGATCATTAACGCTCTATTAGCACAAAATAGCCTCAAATATCAAAACTGATCAGTACATCAAAAAAAAGTAAATAAATATCTTAAATATCTCTGGTTTGCTGTTATTATGACAGCATTAGCAAATCAATAAAAGTACGATGAGGAGTGCTGTGTATAGATTTTGATCTACAAGTCTGAGCAGTCCTCTGAATATTTGTTGCTGAACGTAATGAAGACATTTGTACTGCTCCTTTTTTCAGCGCTGTAAAGTACCGGTCCAAACACATAAAACTGAGCACTAATGCATTCTGTCTCGAAGCAGCTTTAATGAAAACGATTAGGGTAAGGAGTCGTACAGTACTTTAATAGAAGGGGCAAAGGTCCACCTCTCAGTTACACACTTCTCAGTGCTGAAAGGCAGGAAACAAAGCGCTGTAGTAACTACATCTACTCTGCCCAAAGCACATCTTAGCTCAGTATTAGGGGACTGCCTCCACTTCTCCAGCTTGTAACGCTTTCACAAAGGGAACATTTGTCCTCACTGTAGGGGACTGCCTGGCCCTAAATGGGGATCTTGGGGTGATCTCAGCGGGGCCTGGAGCTGTGTCTCAGGGGTACACTAATGGGGAACGAAAGGCTATCAAAGAGAAGTATCATGATGGTATCGGGGAGGGAGGGGGGTTATGAGAAAACAAAGCCTCCTTTCCATTGAAGGGGGAGGGTGGGGGGTGGGGGGGCACCCTCCCCCTTCGATCATTTACATGGTAATCAGGTGCAACTCATGTAGGCTTCCCTTCTTCATGTACTCTTCCTATTTTTGTTACATTCTCTGTTTACTACCACCAGCACCAGCTTTTTGCCCTTTCTAACCAGTTCACGAGACTACCAGCTTCAATTTGGGGGTTTTCCTTAAATTTCTGGACCTTGTCTTGTTCTTCCCACCCCCTCCCTTAAATTTCCCTTTTTCTTTCTTTTTTTTGTCAACCTCTCCACCCCTTCGCTCACTACCAATATCTATTCCCCCACCCCCTTCTCTTTTTCGCAGGGGGGGTGCATTTTTTCTTGTTGTGGTGTTCCCCGGGCAACCTCATTCAACTCAATTCAACTCAAGTAAATATGAAAATAAAAAGCACGACCAAAGATTTGGTCACATAAATGATGTTTGCTCATATCAAGTTTGCCTGAAAGTGCCAGTCTGCCCTCCACTACACTGGTCACTCTTTAACACTATAACATGCTCTTCATCCTTGTCTCTCTTAATTTATTATTATTATTATTATTATTATTATTATTATTATTATTGATAATAATAATAATAATAATAATAATAATAATAATAATAATAATAATAATAATAATAACAATAATAATAATAATAATAATATTGTCGGCAGTCTGAAAAGAGAGAGAGAGCAAAAACACTGAAAAAACAGATTTCATTCCCCTGATATTCCCCTAACATGACATTATTTTGGCATGCACTGTAAGTAGATGATGCATTACAGCACTGCATGGGGCAATCACTACATCGTAGCAGCAACATAGTTTCTGGATTACTGAGGCAAGTGGAGGTTGCGTCAGCTTATGGCCAACCATAAAACTGATGGCATACTGTCATGGGTCTATTTGGACAAGGAACAAGGCTGTAACGTAAAAGCAGTTCACTTTCAATAATTAAAAAACACCATTGCAAGAGCACAATATGATGACTTGGAGGACACACACGTAGAGTCACAGATGTAAATATTTTCCTAACCTGCAGAGATTTCGTATCTTGTATATTTGCATACCTTTAATACAGCCCTGTGGCTGTATGCCATACTGTGCTTGCAGTGTGCGGCTCATTATTTTCTTTATTGAACCACAGTGAACACTAATATCCCTGACCCCCACCGCTCATGAATACATACATTTTAATATATTTTCCTGGCCAAAAATCTTTCTGAACAGTGTACATCAAATGATGTGGATGAAAAATCAAATGTTCACCTCATCTGCCTCAAAGAATATGTAAATACATACTTGTCTTTGAGAGCTTCCTCTCAGCAGAGTGCTCTAAGCTGATTTGGATGACACCGCTGCCTGCATGAGGTATTCATTTCTTCACGGCTCCAGAATGGACGCACCCCCAAAATGAGGGTCCTTTGCCTAACACTTCATGGATGGCTAATTTTCCCTTCCTGACCTCCCTTTGTGTGGCATTGACCCCCTCCACCTCCCCACCTTCCACTCCCTCAAATAGCTGACAACCCTGCGTGCCCCCCCTGCAATAAATGCAAAAGCTTGACGTGGTCCTCTGTGGGGCCTTGAAGTGATCCCAGGGCTATTTTTTTTTTCAGAAGGTCGGGGGCTGAGGTGACAAGTGTGGTGAGATTTGGGTGGAGGTGGGGGATGAAGTAAATGTCGGGTGGTCTGCATAGGCCTAAATTATTCCCACCGTCTGAGTGGGTTCTTGGCACTTTTTCTTTTAAATCTCTCAAAACACTGTGCTGATAACATCAGGTGCTTTTATAAGACCATCACACATGATGAGATTGTGCTGTTGGACAATAAAAAAAATGTTTATTTATTTCTTTATTTATTGTTCTGTCATTTTTCTTCCTAAACTTGAAACTCAGTGAACAAGTTTAGGCTTTCCAGATTCTACTACATACAATAGAAGCATTTAAAGCTTTAAATCTCAAATAGATATGTTTTATTTAAATAATTATGAATATCAAATATAACGTTTTCCTACTAAAATCATGAATTATTATAATCATGTTAATATTAATTTAATACCACCATATTAATTGTGGTATTACTAAAATATCATATTAAGTATGGTATAACTATGTTAACTAATAATGATTTAATTAATTATAAGATTTTTTCAGAAGGTAAAATTTCCTTTAATCAAAGGACAAAGTGGAAAATTCTGGGATGATTCTTTTCTGATTAAGTAAAAATTCAAAATCAGTTAATTTGCTGTGGGTGCAAGTATTTTTTTTTCAAATGTCTTAAATTGAGAATATTATTTTCCAAGAACAGTGAAATTGTTAAAAAAAAAATGCAAACAGTTTAATTCACAGAAAAAATAAATACTGGCAACCAAATTGCAGAGATTCTTTGATGCGTTATGACTCGTTATCATATTTGATTCTTTGTTATTCTTGCAGACTGTGACTCTTACTGCAAGGCATCCAAAGGCAAACTTAAAATCAACATGAAGAAGTACTGCAAGAAAGATTACGGTGAGTAAACAAACAACGCGCAGCCTGTTTAACCACTCACATTTACATTATGAAGACATCTGCTTTACTTTGAGATCAATCTGTCTCTAAGAACAAATAATTTGCACTTTTAGGGAGTCCCAGTGTTGCTGCAGAGTCTTTCTTTGAATGCATTTGTTTGCTCCTACAATCAAAGTACCTTCAGTGTTATGCATCCAGCCCAGAACGTTGCTGGGAAGCAGCAATAGTTTTCAGGCGAGGCATTTTACTGATGTCTTACTACAGCTTTCTGAGAACAGAGAGTCAATGGATCAAACAGAAGACAACAGATCTTCAAGGAGGAAGAGAGAGGCAGACAAACAGAAGGACAGAGAGGGAGAAGATGTGTGTGCGTGTGTGCTGGAAGGGTTATCTCTGAACAGTCGAATAAGACTCCAGCGGATAAAGCAAGTCAGTATGACAGACAGTGGGAGCTCTTTAAGAGATCCTCATTAAGAAAGGCCACTTCCCCCACAGCTGATGTGTTTCTTGGTGAATTCCTGTGACCATCAGTCTGCCACCCCATTCAAGGTGTGGATAAGACATATGACCTCTCCCCTCTTCCTGTCCCTCTGGCCCCTCCCCTGATTGAAGTCAGGCTGCTGAACTAGTCAACCAAGCAGCGGCATCCTGGAGCATACTTCAGCAGCTTGATGGACATGCCTGGACTTTGTTCTGTTAGGATTTGCAGGAGTTAAAGGGTCAGCTTATAGACACCTCCTCTTCCACCAGTGCCTAACTTGATGCTAGTGGCGTGAGAAAAACCTTGTCTCTCAAATGTGTTGCGGTCCACGCGTGATTTTTTTTGTTTTTTGTCAAAAGGCAGAAAATGCTGGAAATTTCAAAACCAAGTTAGCATTTCTTCTAAAATCAAGATTAAAAATGCATACTTTTATTGTGCTGTTGTATTATATTTTATTTATACATTAACACAGATGTGTAACAAATACAATTTTAAAAACCAATCCACCCCAAATGTAGGGCATGAGGGGGAACTAAATGAGTATGCCATAATATGGTCTGCCTAGCAAGCATATCTCAACCCAGTAAATACCTCTACCATTACTATTAAACACCAAATGAGGAAATATGTTTGGGAATAATGATGCACAAGAAACACTGAGACATCGGTGTCATTCTGTCAGATGACTGGTGTCCTAGAAATGCATGACCTTTAACAGTGGCACCATAATGCCTTTGATTAGGGTAATGGTGAGACAAATCTGTTCCCTTATCTTGACTAATTTAAGTTAGTTAAATGAATTTTCTTTTTCTTTTTCTTTTTTTTTTAAAGTGGAGAAAAAAAAGAAAAATGAGTGTAAAGACAAAGTCTCCTGGCCAATGAATTTACTGCTTTGTGGAATTGCGCAGAATGGCAGAATGCACTGGACCACTAAAACACCACTATTAAAACTGAGTGATAACAGTAGGCAGCACCCATTTGAGGGTGAGGAGATGCAGAGATAAAAAGAGGCATCAGTATGACGCGCTGGAGAAACGATCACTCAACACAATCCGGAGTACCCTTATCTACAGTATGTACATATCCAAAGACAAGACAGCAGGAGAGGCTCCAAAATTGATTTGGCATGTCTCGTAGGTGTGCTGGTACTGATGGCTGAACGACTGCCAAGCAAGAGACAAATGAAAAGAAAAGATTCTCTTTAATGCTTTTTGGGTGTAGATACAGAGCCTTGTTAGGTAGAGGGTGTAAATTAGGGAGTCTGAACAGAGAAGGTTCGTAAACCTTGAGATAGAAACTCTGCTGTTAAGTGTGATTTAATCAAAACATGAAGCCAAAAGGATTCTCTTTGGCTGCCATGTTATGATGGTGTACAATCAATCGAATAAACACATGCAGATTTAATGTGTTCATGCACAACAACAGACAAAATATATGTTTGTTTGTTTGTTTGTTTGTTTGTTTTTTTAAATTTCCTTTACAAACTCTTAAATTAAATTATTTTTCAGAGCTGGATCATAGTTAAAATATTTAATTTAATCTGTGAGTCCAGCAGTGGTGTTATGTTCTTTGTCATTCCCTGTGTAATTCACCTTCTCTCTGCCGGGTGGCTTTGTGCCAGGAATATACATTAAAGGATCCATTTCCATCCATAGTTAGCAACGGAATATTTAAGACTAATTACGGACAAGAACAAGAACCCTGTGCAGTATTTACTCAAGCTTAGCGAAGCTGACTGAGACACAATGTAAATCTGCAGAACTTGGCTCCAGGGAGCCATAGCTTTGCACTGTTTTGAAAGGATCAGCAGGGATCTGTGTCCCATGCTGCGTAGGGAAACGACACTACAAGCTTCTGCATTTGATATGCAGACGCACATTAGCAGTCACAGGAAGATGCAAAGCCCGGGGAAATGTCTCATCTCAGCAAATCCTTGGTGCAGCCACTTTAAGCATCTCAGTGTCCACAGTGCACAGCAACTGTTGTGCAAACACAAACAGTACATGGTGGCAGCTGGTATATCCAAGGTGCTGCAGAGGTCACTGTTAGGTCAGCCAACGGTCATTAGGGCTCCCATGACACTGAGGCCTAAATAAAACTATTATACAAATAATAGTTTTATACATTAATACATCGCAGAAGAATAAATTGCACATGTAATTACTGTGCTACAAGCATAACACAAAAGATCTGGTTTAACCAGTATTACTGAAACATAATAGCATAATGGAAACTAAAATTACACGCAGATACAGATATGTTTTCAAAAATCACCTTTATTCAGCTACACTGTTGCAGCTGGAAAAAGGTTTTAGAAGCAGTTTTAGATTTTCACCATTTTATGAAATGAATCCCAAGGCAGTGATTCAAAATCAATAATACAAAACCTGGCCTGAGTACAGGGGTATACACTTAATACCACCAAGATGTTCAGCTCCATAAGTGCTGAAGGTGACCTTGTGACAAGATGGTTCATTCCGAAACTGGTGTCATAAGTACAGGGGGAAGAGATCGGTTCAATAAAATGCATATTGATACACGCTCTCTTTCCTCCTCTTCTTCACTCTCACTTTCCCTCACTCCTCCTCTCACAGGACAGAATCAGTACATTAATCATGTGATATAACAGAGTATCTTTCCAGCTAACGTCTTTAATAGCCCTACCCTGTCTCCTAATCGCATTACAAATCACGCTGCTGTGTCAGTAAATGGACATAATGCATACTGGGCTCCATCTGATAGCTTGACCAGGTATAGAGAAAAAATCTAGGTTAGAATTAGGTTACCAATTTTTACTTTACTGGGATTAATAGCACATTGGTGTCAATTTAAACATGTCTCTTACCTCCTTTTATCAATTCAGTACTTGCTTTTCAATCAATTTCAGTTGATTTGTCACCATTTAGATTTGTACACATCATATTTGACCTTCTTTAAAGAATTAAAACTGTGTTTCTGCAACCTATTCAATGTCTTATTAGTCTGATATGCACTTTTAGTCACAATGTAAAGCCCTTTTGAAAATAAAAATACAAAAAGAACAAATATTTCCTTGGTGAGGCAATGCAAGAATGCTGTAATGCACTCAAATGCCAAGATTTCCTCTGCTGCAATAACGCAAATCAACAAAACCTTCTTAAATCTAAAACACTTGGGGATACTGAGGTTTGATCTTCCAGCCTTGGAAATGTCAGAGCTCTGGATTTTGTGACATAATCCCTAATGTGCATCATGGGCTAACCCTTTCCCCCTTTTGTGACATCATTACTCTTTGGTAAGACTGATATAGGAAACTGAAACAAAATCCAGGCCTTCATTAAAATAATAAAAATGTCTGCATATCTCATGCAAGCAGGAGATTAGCTCAATAAATATCCAGTGACATAGTGATTTGACCAAAACAATCTGTAGACTAAATTGTTTAAGCAAAAACTTTGGCTTGGAAGGACTGTTAAAATTAGAAGGTAAAGCCACAGTTTTGAGTGTTTTTGGAATGCTAGCTGCATAGCTGTAGGGAAGGCAATGCCAGTCGGTCTACCGCAATGTCTCTTAGTGAAAAATCTGCTGGATGATTTGCTTTAAAGAAAAGTTTACAGACATGCAAGCCTCTTATTGCTGGACTACTGTCGTCATGGACTTTGAGCTTGTCAATCAACCTCTGATTTGTAAATCTTAGCATGCATTGGACAGCAGGAACCAAACGTCCAAATTGATGTCTTAAAATGATACACAAGATTAACCTGGCATGTTTTTTGATGGGAGGAGAAACCGAGAAGCTCCTAGAGAAAATTAAAAAACATAAAAATTCCAAACAGAAAGAACCTGTCTGGGTTTGACCCGATCTCTGAAGGCAGAGATCTTTATATACTTGAAAAATCATCAACTCACTACCATTTACAACAAATTCGTAACTGGCTTACTTTGTTACAAATGCAAAAACTGTGGCAATGATACAGCATATTTAGTTAAGTTTGAAATGCAGATTTTTATACCCAACCGCTTACCTGAAGCTACCTTTAGGCTAGTATTAGCTTAATTCAGTGTGGCCACTTAACATGCAGTCACCTTAAAAACAGACTACCTCTTGTAAAATGTCAAATTAAATGTACTTGAATGCATAAACTTGATATATGTATGTAACTGTAAAAGTGTTAAAAGAACTTTTAGTCTATCCAAACACACCTGAGAAAAATCGCAGTAGCAAAGATGCAACGCAGAAACCGAATGTGGCATCTACATGCTTGTATCTGTGATGAAAATGATATATTCAATCATAGTAGCCTCAAAAACTAGCGTGCCCAGTTACAGCCTCACACAACTCTGCTGCAGACTTTTAGCCTTACAGAGAAACTAAACTTTACCAGTCACACGCTTTTGCATGTTTGTTGAATCCAGTAAAAGGAAATCACGTGTCACGTCTTTTGCTTCCCAACTTTTCTTTGCAGCTGTCCAAGTGCACATCCTGAAAGCGGACAAATCCGGTGAGTGGTGGAAATTTACTGTCAACATCATCTCCGTCTACAAGCAGGGAGAGAGCCGCATCCGCCGTGGGGACCAGTTTCTGTGGGTCCGTGCCAAAGACGTGGCCTGCAAGTGTCCAAAGATCAAGCCTGGGAAGAAGTACTTGCTGCTGGGAAATGATGAGGACTCCCCTGGCCAGGGTGGAGTAGTGGCAGATAAAGGTAGCCTGGTTATCCAGTGGAGGGACACATGGGCGCGCAGGCTCAGGAAGTTCCAGCAGCGCGAGAAGAAAGGCAAGTGCAAGAAGCCATAAGCAGGATGAGATGGAGACGATTCTGAAGAGGGAGATGATTTCAAGAAAAAAAGCTGAGCTGGCAAATATTAAAAAAGAAATAAATAAATAAATAAAAAGAATGGAAGAGTGACAGACAGAGGACCATGGACAGAAAAGAGACTGTTTATGTCGCTGCTTTTTTGTGTAGAAGCATGAAGAGAATTATTTAGGATGATATGTTTTTTTCAGTCGAACTTTTGTTGAAGGAGCTCACCTGGCAGATTTGGTTTATTTTACTTTGAGATTCCTTTCTCTTGTGGATTTGCACCTATTACCAGTATATATCATTATTTGTTTTGTTCTCATTATCCCAATATGAAATCCTTATATTTTATGTTTGAATTTTATGGACATTTTCCGCTGTTGCAAAAATGACAGAAAGCCACTTACCTACCGCTGCAACTTTGCCTCTGCATGTTGTCTTGGAAAATTGTATTATTCGCTAAGAAGTGAGCTTGTTTCAACAAAAGATTTCACTGTTGAGTGGCAATTGAGGAAGTGATATGTAGTTCCTTTATTGAGATTTGTGCCATAAATGCTATTGTTTCTAAGCCACAGAAATGCACACATTTAGCTGTGAAAGACTTGCCATTCCTTTCCTGTCTGAATTTAGTTATATTATGCAATTCAAGCAACACTAAATTGCATGTCTTACATTTTCATCTGTCAGGACTTTTACAGTTTTACAACATGCAAGTGACAGAAAAGAATCTATGACAGTATTGACTTTTATTTTCAATCTAATCAATCCTGAGCGTCCTTGTTACTTCAACCAGTGCCCCTCAGATTTCACAGTTAAGCATTTGCCTAAACCTGCATGTGAGATTGTAATGTTCACTAAATAGTGCTGCTTGTGGTACTGTACTAATGTTCAATTTCTGAGGGAAAAAAACATTTAAATCACTGATTTTACCTTTAGTAGTTACAGTAACTGTGATATACTTTGTGTCACAAAAAAATAGAAGCTTTAACAAGTGACTTGGGAATAAGAAGCCAGCTACATTTTATTGATAACCTCTTTACAAAAATGTTCATAAAATCCTGAGTTGTTCCTAATAGACATTAATAAGAAACTACCCTCAACCGCTTCCTTCCTGTCATGAGGCGTCACCACAGTGGGGAGCTTTGGAGGTTTGATTCGGTTTTATGCCGAAAGCCCTGCCTAACGCAACCCCAAAGGGCATTTGGGATGTGAAATCTTGTTTGTTTTTCCTTTCATCAGCAATGCTTGCTCTGCCACAAATGATCAGAACTGTGAAAGTTACCCAATGTCTGTTGTTGTGTAAAATGGATGCAATGTTAAAATTGTGCGGGTGAAAGTGCAGCACTGCAGCTGCTGGTACTGCATGTTCTCAGAGGATATTGACAAAGACAAATAGTATGACGCAAGTGCAACAATGCAAATATTTATATGATTTACCTCTTCAGACATGTGTTCTTTTAAACCAACTTATGGAAAGCTCGCCACAGTATGTCAAAATCTTCAACAATGGGTATGAGTAGGACAAAGGGAGAAAAATGTTGCAACTGACCCCCTGCCTGTTACTACCACTAAATCTGAAAAGATGATCTGAAAGATCTTCAGGTTGTAGAAAGCACAGAGTGGATACAATGAAACAAATTTCTTACCTTATGTGGCAGAGAAAATAATCCCTATAGTGATGAAAAACTGAAGCTTATTGCGCCTTAAGAAAGTGCTCAACACGCTTACCTAAATTTACTTTTAGAATCCACCTCACAGCTTGTATTCGTCTGTAGCACTTCCTGCAGTGTGGTGGGATTGCATATAAACTCATTTACAGGGCACACTCTTTTGCAAACACAATGCACGACTGTACGCTCAGTAAAAGAAACGAATCAGTAAGAAAAATGCCTGCCATGTTAATTCTCTTCATGTCAATACTTGCAAAGGGACAAATGGGGTGCATTACAATAACTTGTCGCTGCTTGATTCAAACCACTTTGTGTGCAGTTCAGTTTGGATTTCTCCAAGGAATGCATGGATAAAAATGCTCAGGTTTGTAAAAAGCCCAAAGTGTATTTGATTTATCATGAACTTTTTATCTTTTGAGGCCAAATCACAACACCGTGAGCAGTATGTTTGTGAGACAATAAAACATCATGTTAAATGGGCGATTGTTGTCTCACTAAAGTTACATTTAATTTCTAACGCTCAAGTGAGTGTAAAGAGGGATAGACAAGAAACTTTCAAACTTTCATAAAAAGGAGATAAAGATTTGATACCAGTATCTTGGAAACATCCTCAATTTTGTAATTTTACTTATAGTAAAAATCCTAGATGATGACAAATTGAGCATATTGAACTGTGATACAGAAAATGACTGTACTAGTCAATATTGACATTTTTTTTTATTGTTCAATCAGTTTAATATTTGTTATCGATACCCAACATGCTGCTACATGATGGCGCCTTCTTGAATTCTCCAAAACTGATAATCACAATATTCTGACATATACACAAAATTTTTGCACGGTACTGCATTTCATTGTTAAACCAACAATGTTATGTGTCAAATTCTTTTTTTTTTTTTTTAACTATTTTTATTTGGCACAGTGTAATCCAAAATGACACGACTCTGGTCTCCATAGCTTCTAGCTGTAACTTTGACATCCGTCTCCTGAGCAATGGTTTGACAAGCTTCCAGATGAAACGCTATACACATACACATCAAAGCATTGCTTTGTGTTCATACTATGAATTGTAAATGTTGTTTTCACCATTGCAAAGTCTTTTGCAATGTTTTACAATGCCTACTAATATATTATGGTTATTATATATGAATATATTTAATGACACAAGACATTGTGGATTTTATTGTCTTTTTTTTTTTTTACTTGTTTGTGGTTATTTAGATCGTTGTTATTAAAAGAAGGAAATAATAACTACTGAACACACCAATCTGGTAGAACTAAATTCAGATTTTCAGAATAAATAAACTCTTGTTACATTGAAAAATCATTTGCCTCTGTTGCTTTTTTTTTTTTTTTTTTAAATTGTAAGTCTACAGAATTTAATGTATTCAGTTTATCCCTGTTAACTGGTTGCAGTATCATTATAAATGTAGTAGGGGAAAAAATACACAATGGAATGAATTAAAGTAGTACTAGTGTGTTAAAACTTTGCCAAAGGTCCACACTACCTAAAGATCATGTTACAAAACACTTCAGAGTGAGGCGTGAGCGTAAACGCAGACAGGAGTCCAGGCTCTATAAAATGGAAATGTCATTTATTAGAAATTACAAGCTGAATTGATTTACAGGGAAGGAAAAGAGCCATGTTAGTAACACAGCCGAGCTGTTTGTTTTGGCTATGAGCTATTCTATAAACATTACAAAATCCAAACAAAATGATAACATTACAGCTGCTACAGTAATAAATGGGTAAATATAAGTGAGTGTGAATATTGCAAAGCTTGCGGAATTACTGTATCCAGTGCAAACCTCAGCCCAACCACAGACAGGCTTATGAAAGAAAAGTCCCCGTTGCCTGCGGGAGGTCCTACTGTTAGGTCAACATTCTCACAGTTCAGGCAGTAAAATAAACCTTTTTCAAAATGCTTACAAATCTCCAAATAATTTAAGAGTTTGATGATTTACTAATTTATTAGTAAGACATTTGAATATCTATTAAACAATTTACACCCACAAAAAAAGAAAGTAAATGTCTTTTGAAAGGTTACATATACCCTTAAACCCAAGAGTGACATACTGGATAAAAACATTTGTCTGTGGGGTTTTCCCCACTTCTCCTTTATTAGATAGCCCAAAATGACCTGTGTCTTAATGTGAAGAACAAGTATGGTAAATCTGCTTAAATGAGGGTCTGTCTGTTTGATGTCACTGCTGATTAAATTCTGCTCCAGACTTTCATTGTTGCTGTCCGACACGGGTCCATGATCACTGCTGTCTTCATCACACAGGCCACGCAGCAATCACTATAATGGCTATAAGAAGTAGTACGATCACTACCAGCATCCCTGAGCAGAAGGAAGGAGGGAAAAAAAGACATGTTAGAACAATTGGAGGGAAAAGGACATCAGACTACAAGGTTCATTAAGTAATTTCACACACACACAAAAATGAAAATCTGGATGCTTTTTCTCGCCTAACACAGTGAGAAAACACTTCTGAAGAAGACAGGTTGCTGTGTGAATAAGAACAGAATGCAATCAGATGGAAATCACGTAATCTATAACATGCAATAATGGCCAGAGATCAGGTGATTTACTCGAATAATATATATATTTTTGCCTTGACAAACTTGGGTTGCTTCTGCAGTATGCTTTGGAATATCATCCATTTGGACTAAGAAGCGCTGTGTGATCAGTTTTGCAGGATTTGGCTGAATCAGAGTGTAGCCCTGCACACTTCAGAATTGATCCGGCTCCTTCCACCAGCAGTAACATCATCAATAAACACTAGTGACACTGCGTTCACCTTGTTTAACAAATGATGTTGTATGCTTTGGATCATGAGCAATTCTTTTCCTTCTCCATGCTCCATTCTCTTCAGTACAACTTAATCTTGGTCTCATCTGATCAAGATGATCACTTTCTGTGCTTTTGGTGTAGCTGAGCTCTCCAGTGAACTCGCTGGCTGTTGATTTGGTGACTTGTAAAATTTTTGATGTCCTTCTATTAAGTTTTTTTTTTCCCTCTTCAGCCTAATGTTGGCCTCATTCGCTGACATTTGGGGCTCACATTTAAAATTACATATAAAAACTATTAAATATAAACTTTAGATATTAATGTCTGCTTCATCTGTCATGAAACAACAAATAAACAGACCTCATCTTGCCACAAAACTGCTTGCCAGTCAATTGTCCAGTTTGGAGTCTTTGAAATTGGGAAACTGTGTATAAAAACTGTGTATAAAAATGTCTGTAATGTAAAAGCTGAAAGTCTGCACTTCAATCATATATTGATTGTTGGATTTAAAATCCACTGTGGTCGTGTCCAGAGACAAAACTACGAACACCGTGTCTTTATCCAACTAATTATAGACGTCAGTATGTGTCACTCTGTTGCCAAATAACCAAAATGAGTTACAGTGTAAGCATTAATTTTTTAGGGTGTTAAGCACTGGACACCCGCTCCAGAAGTTTATTTATTTTGTCTGTGTTAATCATGAACTGCTCTACATTTATTTAAAAAGCAATGAGACTTCATCATAGTCAACAACCACCACCCATCCAGTCTAGCAAGGCTAAATAAAAACAAAAATCACTGCTGCTCAGATACAGTTACACAATTTTCCAAACTCATTTGCTATGATAATTTATGCTAAATTTTCTTACTTGATGTTTTGTTGCTATAGCCCCTGGTGATAAAACAATTTCAGCTTGAAACTATATATATATATATATATATATATATATATATATATATTTATTCGATACAAAAAAAATGTTCATGCATTTTTAATTTGTCATTTATTAAAATTATAAATATATATTTTAACTCAAAAGTACAGTTTTTAAATTTAACCCTAACCCTAACCCTTGTGCGCATTTTTTATTTTGACAGCGAATGCGCACCTGCGGACCACTTATGTGCAGCCCTGGTTATATAGCTCGTCATATTGCAACCACAGAAATTATTTTGTCCATGAAACCATAAAGCTGCACTTTCTTTTTGCCTTATAGTCTGATTTGTCATAACTTCTCCGTTTTGTGGTAAGCTTTTATTTGGCTGTCACTTCTTCACCCTGACCTGTCTTATTTGGCTCAGCAGAACTGAAATGCTTTTACACACGCACTCACATAAGCTCAGTGATTCTCTGCGCGATCAACCTCTCACATGTGTAAGCTGCGGGAGATTTCACTTGTCATGTTTGCATAGTAAGCTAACGATTAATAAGACGATGTCAGAGGAATTGGTGCACAAATTATCATCACTCACAGATCAGTGCTGTCGCTCTCTATACACAGTTCGCACGATTGCAAAGTGAAAGCAAAAAAACAAGCGCAAATTCAAACGCGACTTCAATATGTCACATATTGACAGTGGCTCACCGATGCCAATGACATAATTACCCAGCTACATTTCTGAAAGAATGCAAAAGCATTGACATATATTTTTCCTACAATAGCCCGACGGGCAGGGAAGAGATAGATTTTGGTAGCCTGACTGAAAAAATCGCTAGCTCCGGGACGTCGGGCTAGCGATATTGCAAGCCCTGTATCTGATTGAGGAATCACTCATCTTTGGAAAAGAGAGTTTATTACAGAGAAATGTCTCTTTCCAAAATAAAAGCTATACTATCCGCTTCTTCTGGGCTATATTCTCAGCAGCATAAGGAGAATCATGTGCTAACAGCTGTCTAAATGACTCGGCTAAAGTTAGTAGCATGCTTGTTGTTTTTGTCTTTGCACTAGGATGATGTCGATGTAAATGTGCAGTCATATTCGTTGTGTTCCCACTAGTGCTTTCAGGTTAATCTCGTTGAAATGACCTTAACGCCACAACACGGCAAATCTCCGTTAACGAGCTACCGCCGATCGCTCCGTGCATGGGGCTAGACGGCCAACACGTTAACGAGCTAACTGCGCTAACACACTAGTTCACACCAATGTAATTGAGCATTGCATGGCACATCCAACATACTGTTTTACTTTAGTCCATGACTCGCTTACCTTCAGGGTCATACGTCACATGAAAACCAAAATAATTCCAAACGCCAGATCTGAATGAGGTTCAATTTGCCTGTTGCAAGGAGAGCTTAACTTCTGTCTCGCTAGCTTGCCCTGTGCTCTTCCTTCTGACTATGCTGTCTGTGTGGAGCGCTCAGTGGATCTGCGCTCGACAGTGCCTTGAAAAGCGCTATATAAACCCACTCCATTATTATTGTTATTATTGAATTACTTACGAGTTTAATTTGTCAGCAACTTTCTGCCAGCCCTCTCTCCTTGCTTTTGCAGCCTTTGCAGTGTTCCCTTGCGTTTTAATTAAACTCTGAAACTCCTGAAATCCCTCAATCAAGAGTTCTTGCTCTGCTGCCGGAAAATACCGAGCGCGCCCCTTCGACATTTTCGCCGACCAATCAGCGGGTTGCCGATCAATGTTTCTACTATCGATGCGTAGCCCCTTTTACGACACCCAGTGATGTCACATTACTGCGTCCAGCTGTACTAATCGTCAACAACAGGTGTGTTCGGGGAACCGGATTAGCGAGCTCACGGTTAGCGCGATGGTTTGGTCTTGGATGTGTCATTTGATCTTGGATGTAGTGAGCGACGTACGAAGAACGGGCCCCTGATCTACAATACGGCAGCAGTGATCAGTGAGATGCTTGACTACAAGTTGAACAGCGACAAGGGGCAGTACCCTCCATGGAGAAGGAGGCTAGAGGGCAAGATCAAAGTAGCATGGAGGGAGGTTAGCCAACTAACGGAGTTGCAGAAAGGTGCGACAAATAAGGTGCCTAAGAAATACAGCAAGCTGTCCATACCTGAGGCCTTGGAAACTGCCAAGCAAAGACTCACAGCCTTGGCCAGCCGCTTGAGGAGGTACACCAGAGAGATAGAAGGCAGGAGAATAAACCAGCTGTTCTCCACAGAACCAGCAAAGGTGTACTCTCAGTGGCAAGGGAACAATAAGAGAACAGCACCACCAAGGCTGGAGACGGCGCAATACTGGAAGAGCATATGGGAGAAGGATGCAACCCATAACGGCAATGCTCAGTGGCTAGAGGATCTGAGGGCAGACCACAGCGACCTCCCTGAACAGGGTCCAGTAACCATCACAGTGGCAGATATCCAAGAAAGGGTCTCCAGTATGAAGAGTTGGACAGCACCAGGGCCCGACATGGTTCATGCCTACTGGCTGAAGAAGCTGACTGCACTCCACGAGCGTCTGGCAGCACAAATGAACCAGCTGCTAGTTAACGAGAGACACCCGGAATGGCTAACTGAAGGCCGGACGGTCCTGATCCCCAAGGACCCCAAGAAGGGAGCGG